GGCCATAGGCAGAGCTCGGATGCTCAAAAGCAGCCGCGAGCCAGTAGGTAAATGAATGGCTGTGGTCGGGGACCAACACCGCTTCATTCTTGGACACTGTAATTTGAATTTCATAGAATTGTCATGTGTCGTGAGATAGTCTACTCTCTCTTTTTTTTAACCATTTAAAAATGTACAAATCATTCCTGGCCCACACACCACAGACTGCCAACCCTGTCCTGGAACATTAGGGCTGGCAGGTCCTGAGTGACCGCCAGGGTTCATGCTTCACCTTCACGCTGTCCAGAGGCCTCAGGCCGGGAGGCATAGGGGGCGCTGTGCGCTCTGGGCCTCAAACCACGCCCCCTCCGGAGCACTTCCTGTTTGTCCATTTTCTGCGTTAGGGCTTCTTCCGTGGGCAGTTTTTCAGTAGAAAGCGTTCTGTTTTTATTGGACGCTCGAAACCACGTGCCTAGAATGTTGCAGGGGCTCCCAGAGACCAGAAAGGTTCCAGGACATCAAGGGACGAGTCTCAAATGGTGGCGTGTCGGGAGCGGGATGTTTCCTCGCGACCCCTGCCTTCAGGTGCAGCCCAGATCTGAGCGCTGGGCTCTGAGCGCAAGGCGCTAGAGGGGGACCTGTGGGTCAGGCAGGAACCTGTCCCTCTGCCCCAGCCCAGCCCCTCTCACCTGACTCAGGCAGTGGGAAGGTTCCATGCCCCCAGATTCACTCAGGCCACAGAACGTCTCCCTAGGACCCACCCTGCAGCCTCTTGATTCCCCCCCGGGGCCGGTGCACCCAACATTCCCTCCCTTTTCCCTTCCTTTCGTCTGAGAGCTCCTTAGAGATGCGCCATCGCCTGGGGCTGCCAGACTCTGACCCGGCAGGGCTGCTCCAGGCCTCCTGCAGCCTATCTGTCTCCCACCAGGGGCCCCACGGCTGGGGGAGCCCTGGTGGGCCCGGGGCAGCAGGATTCCTGGGGGCACTGGGCACCGGGGCCTCCTGCTGTCTCCGGGCCTCCACCTTCCCAACCCCCTAGCCCGAGTGGGACACCCCAGTCCCCAAGGTGCACAGCCGGTTCCCTAGGGCCAGCCCTGCCATCACCTCAGGCTCGGGGCCAGGCATGTGGGTCAGTCTGGACCTCAGCCTCCCAGTCTGCAGAAGGAGAGGATCCTTTCTACGCAGGGCTGTTAGGGTGTCAAGGTCAAGAGTGTGAGAGCACGTGGAAAGTGGGGAAGTTTCGTGTGGGTGTAATGGAGAAGGGGTACCCGCTTGGCTCACGCTCCAGGGCCCAGTGTGGGGGCTGTCCCGGGGGGTGCAGGCCCCTGCCCCCTGGCCCCATCCTCCTGGGCCTCCTCCCCAGCTCCTCGGGTGCCTGACTTTTGGGTGGGGAGGTTCTGCTCACTCCAGAAAAACAAACCAGGGCCCGTGAGTAAAGCTCCCGGAGGGCAGCTTTCATTTTAGCCCCAGAAGGGTCTCTGGGGTTGGCATCTCCACCCGGCAGTGGTGAGGGGCGGCAGACCCCTTGGCCCTGCAGGACGATTGGAATCGAGTCCACAGAATGGAGGGTGGGGCCTTCGCTGTCCCTGCTGGAGCACCCAGACAAAGAGACGGTGAGGCCCTGGGCGGAGGAGAGTGAGCAGGGCAGAGGGTCTCCGCACGGTGCACACAAGTCCCGGGGCCCCCAGCCTGGGACTTCCGTGAAGGAGGTAGAGCGGGGGTCACAGAGCCCACCTGGGGCCGTGTTCCCTGCTGGCTCCCCGGCTCTGTGTGGCCCCATGAACTAGTTTCCCTCTCTCCTCCCGGCCATCTGGATGCTGTAGCCCGGCCCCTGTGGAGCCTCTGGGATCAGAGGTAACGGGAAAAAGCGGGACCAGCTGGACAGCAGATGCACCCAGGCTCCTCCGTGTGGCGGTCACCGGCAGGGAGCCTGTGAAGGGCCCCCTGGACCCTCCACATGCAGCTGGGGGTTGGGGGGCCCTGGACCCGTTTCTAGAAAACACCCTGAGAACACTGTCACTGGAGGGCAGTCATAGCATTTGTCCGTCCCCCCCCCCCCCCCCCCCCCCCGCCGGAACATCGTCCTCTGCAGAAAAGGACATGCTTGGCCACTCGGGCAAGTCTGAGAGGCCGGATGTTCTTGTCATCCCTGCTGCGTCCTGAGCCGGGGGCCGGGGACATGAAAAAAGGGAGCGTGGGCCCCCCTTGGAGGACCGAGCCCTACCAGACAGGCGGTCAGCCGGCGGTCATCGGGTCAGGACCAGGACGGCGGGGGCCCTGGTCCGAGAGAGAAGGCCGGGCGCGGGAGCTGATAATGTGTTCTCCGCAGGCACGCCAGCCCCACCGGCCTGCTGCTGACTGTGGTTGTGGCCCTCATCTACATGGTCGCCATCCAGTACGAGGAGTGAGTAGGCCCGCCGTCACACATGAGGAGTGTGACCGGCCGAGCGGCCGACAGGAAGCTCAGAGCGGACCCAGTGGGGCCTGGGGGGCCGGGCAGGCGGTGACGCGGCAGCCCAGGCCTCCTGTCCACGCTGCCGTGGGGGGCACGGCCTGGGGCGGTGGCATCACCCCCGAGACCTGCTGATGGAGCCCCTCCCCCTCCCCACAGGCCCTTCACCGATCAGATCTACCAGCAGAAAGCCTCCTCGTCCCGCAAGAGGAGCTGACCGGGCCTGCGGCCACTTCACTGAGGGTCTGCCGCCCCGGCCTGCCCCGAGTGCCAAGCCCTGCGGTGGGGAGCAGAGCGACTGGCCGCGGCTCCGTGTTTGTGCCTGATGAGGGCCGCTCAGTGCCTTGGAAACCTCTGCCTTGGGGGCCCTGGACATGCTGCCGTTTGGCCACTGAGCCCCCAGCCCCGCTGCCCCCAGAACATCCTAACTCAACAATAAAGGCACCCTGACGCCAGCATCCCCTTGGGCTCTCTGTCTGGCCAGGTGGGGATGGGGAAGGAGTTTGGGGCTCCTGGGAAGGGAGCATTCCCCTGAGGGCTCCAGGCCAGGCTGGTGTGGCCCTCCTTCGGCCTGAAGCCTCTCAACCCTGAGGCCAGCATCACCATCCGCACTCGGCAGGGCAAGGACTTGCCCAGATGTTTGAGCTTCCTGTGCCTCCCGTCTCACCCCCTGCCCCAGCACCCCGTCTTCCGTCCCTTTCCTTTGGGGAGCCTGCCCAGCCTCCAGGTGGAGGTGTCCTCATACCACCCAGCAGCCCCACACGCCAAGGAGCTCCCAGCCTCTGTGAGCTGCCGTCAGAGACTGAAACACATTATGCTGAAAATGTAAATGGTGACATGATGGTACATTGGTGGGGGTGGGAGCCTGTCGTCGGCCAAGGAGATCGGGGCGGGGGGCCCTCTGAGGAGGGGACATTTGAGCTGAGACCCAAAGGAGCAGAGGGAGCAAATGGGAGGATTCCAGGCAACGAGAAGGGTGAATGCAAAGGCCCTGTGGTCAGAACAAGCAGCAGGCTGTGAAGGACCCAGCTAGTGAGGAGCATCAGCCAGGAGGTGCTGGGCCCCGCGGGGTCGGGCCAATGAGCGGGCCCAGTTGGCAGCCCCCTGGGGCATTTCCAGAAAGCTGGGCTGTGACCCTCATGCTCTCTGAACCCCAAGCCGCCAGGTCCAGCCCAGATGAGCTGGCCTTGGAGACACCATCCTTGTGCGGTGATCTGAGGGCTAACAGAAAAGCCCAAATGTGGTGACAGTGCAACCCCCTTTGGCCTATGAGGGGCCTGGCACTGGATGGAAATATCATGCCCCTGAAGGCTGACGTGGAACGGGCTGTGGGGAGGGACCAGTGAGGCCAACGTGCTCCCCCAGAGCTGCTAGCAACGCTTGAGCCTGGAGGGGGAGGGGAAGGGCCGGGCCGGCTGGACCTCGGACATTCGGCATGCACCTGCTCTGGGGCCCCGCCCCTCACTGGCTGTATCTCGAGACTCCCACACGGGCTGGGGTCACCCCCGTCTGGCAGCATAGGCTCGGTGACCTGTCCCGGGGGCGCAGGTCTGTCCCACCCCGAGCTCACGCTCCCTCTCTCCCGCTGAGGCGGGAGGCGTCGAGGAGAGGTGGGGGATCCCGATGCCGTGGGGTCGGGGTTCCCGGATGGAACCGGAGGTCCTGGGCCCAGCACCCAAGTCTCCCTTCACCCCCCCGCCCCCGGGGTGAACTCAGCATCTCTGGTTAATGCTGACATTTCTCTCCTAATCCCTCGTGAGCCTCAAATCACCAGAGGAGCAGGCCATGTGATCACGTGGGGCCTGTTGGTCAAGCCTGGCTGTGGAGTCTAGTGGACAGGGCTGGCCGGCCCCTCCTCCTGGCCCCAGGCTTACCTGCAGGCCGCCAGCCCTCCAAGGACACAGGATCGGCCTTTCCCTCATTCGTGCTGGGAAACTGCCGTGAGCCCAGACTCCACCTGCCCACGGGCTCTTAAAGCCCCAGCCCCCCACTCTGTAAAGGGGCCACCATAGCCATGCCTGCCTCGTGAATGCACCTACCGCCCAAGCAGTACAGGCTGGGCCTCCCCTGTCACCCAGGGAGCTCCTTGAGCCCTTTTCTTTGGTTTCTGGAATCCAGAGTCTATCTCAGACCTTGAGGGCCCACAGGAGGCATCTAGTCTGATCTTACCCAATGCTTCAATCCCTGCTTCTGCTGGCATACCCCTAAGAGCAGGGAGCTTACTCCTCCACAGGTCCCTCTGCACACATGGCCTTTAAGGATATGCTGCCCCCACCCCCACCCCAATGTCAGGGCAGAACAGAGAAGCCCCAGGCGTCCTGACCCCTGGGTCCACACGGCTGTGGGAGGAGGGGCCCAGGGTGGGGCCAGAGCCATGCGCTGAGCTGGCTCCCCTGAAAGGGTCTGCTGTAAAGGGAGTAGAGCTCAGGCTGCCAGACAGCCGTGATCTGGGCTTGATGAAGGCAGCCTGTCCCTGTCCGAGGGGAACACCAGCTCTTTTTTGCCATTCTCCCGTTCAGGTGGCGGCTGTGGACCAGGGTGACATAGGACACCTTTGTGCAAGGGGCTGGCGGGGCTAGGCTCCGGCTGGCACGACAGCGTTCTCTCGGGAAACAGCCACTCACCTCCACCCCCGACGGGGGCCTGCCCGGCGCTCTCCTCGAATAGCTTTTCAAGGACGCCTACACTGCTCTTTGCCATCAGGCCCTGCCGGGTTGCAGATTTCTCGCCTTGGGGGCCAGCTGTCCACTGTCCAACGTGCCCTCACCGTTTGGTCAAATATTTTTAAAAGTTCCCATTTCATTTTGAGCAGGAAAATTGCTGCCCTGCCAGTAAATGATATTTACAAGCAGGCTCAGCCTCACAGATGCTGTTTGTTGCTTTATGACCAAACACACAGAAAAGGAAATCATTTGTAACCATTGTTAACCTGGGCAACATAAAAACAAGGCTTGGGCTGGCGGGACGTGGGCCGTGGGAAGCTGGGAAGCTGGGGTGGGGGGAGCAGGGGAGGTGTGCACACGTCCCCCCCCTTCCCCCAGTGCGTTGCCCAGAATGTCCACGGGTGGATCAGACAGGCTGATGGCGACGTGTGTCTTGCCTGACCACAGGGCTCACCTGTTGAAAATATGTCCCCACCCCAGGACCACTCGGGTTCAGTCAGCCTGTGGCAGGGCCTTGCGGTAAAGTCACCAAGGCCACCCCGAAGAACAGAAAAGCGTAATTCAATTAACGAAGAGGTTGGCGGTGGGTGGGGGCGTCATCCCTGTGTGCAGGGGTGGGTGCCTGCCTCAGAGTTGGCCTCATTCCTGTGAGGTGTGGGCATTAAGAGGGAGGTCCAGCTTCCAGTTCCTTTCGCTCAGCTCCTTTCTGAAGTTCCAATGCTTCAAAAACATCAGCATGTGTTACTTTTGTAACAAAGAGGTAGGCCTTTGCAAAAAAAAAAAAAAGCCAGAAAAGAGGCAGCCCAAACTAGCAAGCCTCACCCCTGCTTGCTCCCTGGGGGAGTGAGGCCCCACGGGCCACGCACAGTGGTGGGCAGGTGCATAGGCTTTGGGGGGCATCCATTTGGGGAATGAATGACCGATGTGCTCAGGGCTTAAGTCGGCGCACGTAGGACAAGTCATAACCTGGCATCTGTGAGGTGGGGTGACGTGCCCAGAAAGTACCGGGGATTGTGGCTGAGAGCCCAGGCTGGGCCCAGTACCTGCCACTGGCGCTTACCAGCTGGAGGGGGCTGGGGGCACGATGTCAGCACCAACCTTGACATCTGCCCTGGGATGGGGGAGGGAGGCTCTATCCAGGCTGGGTTCCACCCACTGGATCTCCTTAGGGAGAGCTGGGTTCAAATCCTTGACCTTGCCGCCCTTGAGCCTCTGCTCATCACGGTGGCCTTCCCAGGAGTAGAGGCCACCTCGACTCTGGCCCCCTGGCACGGGCCGTCAGGAAGGAGCCAGAAGCCATTGGATTTCAGAGCCCAGCTGCCCATACTGCGCCTTTGCGGGAGGCAGAGGGAGGGCCCCTCATCTGGGGGTGACGTGAGCCCCTCCCGTGACCACCCCTCCTGGCATCCTTGTCTGGTTCCTTTCTGTGGGGAAAAGCCCTGCCCACTGTCCGCAGCGGCCCTGCGTGCAGGGCACCGGCTCAGTTCTTTCTCACCTCAGATGGGGAGGGCAGGGTCAAGAGGGGTGGGGGGACCCAGTCCAGCTGGCCTGTCACATAACTCCTGCATAAAGGACACCCAAGGGGTGAGCCCTTGGGTGCTCCTCTTGTGATACGTGCTTTCGAAGCCCCTCATCAACAGGAGACACAAGGCCTGGGGACAAGTGTGGAGGGGGTGGGGCTATGGGGGTGTACTCTGAGAAATGGGCCACGGATGTCCCACGGTGGGGGACAGAGCCACAGGAGGCGTGCCGTCGGTGGTTAAGAGCCAGGACCGCCAGTTCCCTGGGTTCAAGCCCCAGCCCCGCAGTCTCCGTTTCTCCGTCTGTAAAATACAGACAGTAATAGCTCCTGCTCCTTAAGGCTGCCAAAAGCAACCATGTAAAAGCGCATGGCACAAAGAAACCCTCTTCTGGCATCGCCCTGGGGAGGGTGTGAGGTTCAGTTGGAACTCTTGTCGCAGAGAGGCCGGATAAGGTGAACCCACTCCTGGTTACTGATCAATCTGCCGCCTGCTGGGTTTGCCCCTGCGCCCCGCTCCTCCCAGCCCTGCAATCTCATGGGTCATTTACTGTTGTTATTACTACCAAGTTCCTGCCCCCTAAACCGCTTGTACTTTCTCATCCACAATGGGAACCAGAACCGCCATCCTCCAGAAGAGGAACCCGGGACGCAGAGAAGGCGAGAGGCTGCTCTGTGCCCAGGGCCTTCTTATGCACTCGCTCGCTCGCTCGCTCGCTCACTCACTCCGTGTCTGGCAGGCCCAGCTCCCCAGCTCTAAAATGGGAATGTTCGCCCAAGAGACTCTCAAGACACAAAATGCTACGCGGGAGGGAGGAAGGGACGTTGGCCGAGGCCTGACCAACGAAGGGCAAGTCTCTGGTCCTGTAGGTCCGCCCAGGAAAAGGATGCGGATGCGGACAGCCCCCGCCCGAAAATCCCTGCCCGGCTTCAGAGCATCCCCGGTGGGCGAAAGGAGACGCTGAGGCCCGCAGTAGAGCGCGGGGCGGTGAACGGCTCATGTCGGATCCCGGCCTGGAACCTCGCGCCCCGCGTCTCCGCAGACCCCCACCCTGCCGCTCGTTCCCCGTTCCCCGTTGCCCGCTCCAGCCCGGAGAGCTGCGCCTGCGGCCTGCCTGCTGCGCCCGCGGGGCCTCTGCTGCCCTCTGGCGGCCAGAGCGCGCAGCGCCGACCTCGGCGCCAACGCTGCCTCCGGGGAACAGGAGCGCGCTTGCAGACGGGAAGGGGGCTTCGGCGGGGGCTGGTTCTCCGTACGGTGGAGAGAAGGTGGGTACGCAAGGGCCTGCGCAAGGGGCCTAGCCCTGCTTAGCGCCTGCGATCACGCCGCTGCTATGACTGGACTGCTGTTGTTACTCTCTGGGTAAACTGAGGCCCAAAGAGAGTGAGTGTGAGCGTGCGGGTCTGTGTGGGTGCGCGTTTCGGGTGGGGTCCTTGCCCCAAGCCACGAAGGGTCAGAGGCACAGCCGGGACTACAGACCCGACGCCCTTGCGGCTGCTGGGCCCCGCGCGGTGGAAAAAGGGGTCCGCGCGCCCTTAGCCCCAGCGGGACCTGGGACTCGGTTTCTCCCCGCGCGCAGCGGGCGGCAGCGGGCACAGGCCCGCGGAG